AAATGCCAGGTTATGTATGCCTACAGTATGTGTGTTTATGTCTGTGGTGGCCCATCCATGGAAACAGATGTTGTCTCATCTCTTTTTGCTGTTGCCTCAGCAATTTTCTGTTGTCCTTCTTTCTCTTTTAGCAAATAACCATGATCTCTTTTTTTGTATTTCCTTTAGTGCCCAGCAACATGCTAAGCTAGCTAGCTCTCGGCAGACATTGTAAACATTGGGGGCTTATCCCAAACCTAGGGGGGTGGTGAGGGCATGATCACATGCCTTTGGTATGGGAGACCCGGGTTTCCCACTGTGACACCCCCCAATGTGTCCCTGTGCAAGACACTTAACCCCTAGCTGCTCCAGAGGCGAGCGACCTCTGACATATATAGCAATTGTGAGTCGCTTTGCATAAAATAAGCTAAATGATCAATTATCATTATAAAACAACAATCACTGAGGACTAATTTTTACTCCTGCTACCTAAAAGAGGCAAAAATTGTCTGATATTAGTATTTTTAATTTAGCCTACTTAATATAGGTAGGGTAGGAATTTGTTGTAAACAGCATTACTAATCTTGAAACCTGTTTTTGTTATACTATGCTGGAGTCCTCAGAATGAATGTTTAATCCATGCTATAATAATTTGGCAAATATTATTAAATCTGTATACTGCATTAAATATAGGTGTTACTGTGAAAAAAGCCTAGATTTTACTGACACAATCATGAATGTACCTTTTTGGTGTAATGTCACTGTGTTTTTTTTAACTTCATGGTTGATATTTATGTGATAATTCATGAGTCACAATGTGATGTGATTGGAGAGTGATTCAATTCACTAAATTGGCATATAGTTGTACAGTTATTACTTTCTAACAGAAGGAAATTTCATATTTAGGATTATGTCTTTCTAATGTACATCACCATGTCTCTCTATTATTCTCCTCTCTTCTCATCCCACTAATGTGATCACAGAGTTTAGCTGTAAAACAAGCACCAGTGATGTCTGAAGCTTTGAACGTCAGCAGTCAGATAATATTCTTCATTTGACACAAGCTCCGGCAGAATGAATTGAAACAGTGCGTTTCACAGGAGTGAAACAAGCTTTGGACCTTCAGTATCATAAAGCTTATCTCTACTAGCGAGCTAACATTAGCTAGCTAGCAGGCAATGTTAGGCTATCACCTCACCAACTCACTCACGCCTGTAACTTGTTCAGTTGTTGATGCTGCTGAGCCATTTTCTGTGGAGGGTGGCTGAGGTTTACTCCTTGTGAAAAACGTTGGTTCCATAGTCCATAAGCTGGTTAGCTAGCTAGCAAGTGATTGAAAGACACATACACACATAGAGGGGACCTATAGGCTGGATGGCGATATTTACCCGTTAGCCGGTCCAGTCAGAGCGTCTGAGGGGAAATGAAACAAAGTTTAAGTTTATATAAAAACCTAAAAGATTGTGGGCTTTTCAGAAAACATTTGGGGCTAGAGCCCAGGAAGCCACCCCACTGACCCCCTACCCCGACTCCGCTGCTCAGAGTGGATGGTCTTTTGTGCAGCTAATGCTATAAGGTTTTTGCTTTGTAGGGCTCTTCGGTATTCAGCTAGTGAGATGATGGATTAAAGAGCCGGCCTCCTGTCAGGAAAAAAACTCCTAATCTGCAATTTCTGGAATATCCGTTGCATAATCCAGAAATCCACAGATTACGCAATGGATTTGCATTTTTGATGCTCTGTCTGCATGTGTGTGCTGTCGGTGAGAATCGTTGCTAAAGCACTTTGGTGGCTCTGACTCTGCACTTTGGATGTGCAGTTCCTTTTGTGTCTGCTTGCATGTTCGTCTTTCTCTTGCTGGGTCTTATCGCTGTCTTCTTTACTTGCTGTCTCAGCTTCAGACAGTCAGCAGCATCCTTGCTCACCTTGCACAATCTCGCCTACGTCACTAACCTCCCTCAGGATTACTGCCTCACTCTGCGTGTGTGTGTGCTGCTGTTCCTGCTAGATTTACATCTGTCTCTGTTCTTTTTTATGCTTCTGTCCTGCAATTTAAGTGTTCCCTTCTGTCTTCAGACATCCTTTTATTTCCCGCTGTCTGTCAAACATGTGCTTTGTTGTCACTGTAATGTCTCCTCTGTCTGTGTTCCAGGTCTCACCTCCTTTTCTCTGAGCAGTCAATACGCCATCCATCTCAAACCCTTTTCTGCATGGGATGTCTTGCTCTTTTGTGTGTCTGGTGTCTCTTTGTCTTTCTATCTCTTTCTTTTCTACACAGTAGAAGCTGATGTGACAGAATCACTCACATACAGTACTTGAGTCAAAATATATATTATTGAACATTAATGTTTAAAATTTAGTCTCTAATTACAAAAATGTCAATTAGTCCCGTGAGATTTTACAGGGACATTAAGTGATCAAATACTTTCATCAACCTCAATTGGCAACTGAGGTTAGCTGCAGCACTGATGCATCTTACAAAAGCCTGTAATTAACACAATCAGGTCACATATGTAACAGACAGGAAAGCTAATTAGAGCAGAGACTAAACTGAAAAATAAAAATACAACTTTGTATTTTCCAATCACTGCACTGCTTTCTATGAATAAGTGCACCGGTTCTCCAAGCAGTTCAGGAAAAGTATTTGCAAATGCTGTTTCCCTCAGGTGTGTTTGTTATAATCCTCAGCAGACCCTCTTCCCAGAAAACCCGAAAACCCAAGAACCCAGCCTTAACTGAACCCTGTTTTGTAGGTTCAGACAAGTTTTCCTCACTTGAGTTATTGTGGCCATTGTTTCTATCAGTGATTATAACATTGTACTCACCAATGTAATTTCAGAGTTCTGGGAACACAACAAATAAGCTCCAACATAGCACCCAGACATGTAGACAGGTTGTCCCGACCCAGAGATACATGTACACCAGGTTGGTGGACTACTTCTGCAGCTGCCTATGGGATACGTGAAAAGATTGTGGAGGCTGATCTTTGGTACATTTATTGTCCCAATAACCAATGAGTGAGTTGTAAAACCCCAAGGCAATCGAGAGCACCTGAAAACTAGTTAGCAAATAAGCAGAAAAGTCGAAAGGCCCAATCCAAGATAAACAAACTAGGCCAAGCCTCAACATCGACAAAACAAATGTCATGTAGCCTATGAAAAAAATATTGTAATAATATTGGTGTTTCAATAATTAATAGAGTTAAATAACATTCCATTTTAAAATAAATTCCAACAAATACATTTTAAATAAGATTGGCGTTGATGAAGGGATACTTGAAATGTAGTGAATAGTGAATTCCCAAGTGTGGGATCAATAAAATCTTTCTTATCTTATATTGAGCTCATCTGACAGGACTGTGTGGGTGCGTCAGACAAAAAAAGTTAGGAACTAATGATCAAAACCACTTTCTTTTGAGGTAGCTGAAACTGAGTGCACCACAGATATCAGTATTAATCCATCATTGCAAAGAGAAACTCTAACACACAATTGAAATGAACCAGTAAGTCTTTTGTAAGGTATGATATTTACAACCAGTGTGATCATCTGATCATTTTTGATGCCTTGTTGCGTTCCCACATCTCAGCAATTAACCTGGTGAGAGCAACATTTTTACTGGAATGAAACAAGGCATTAACCTTTATGTTTTCAGCAGGCCTAATAGGACCTGATGAAATGAGATCCTTCATCAATGTGCTGCATTTTTATCCATCTTAACCAAATTCAAGCGATTACTTGCTTAAATGTGGCTTTAGTACAGCAAATCTGAGACTGAAGATCAGCAGAAACTAAGTGTTTAGCCGCTGTTCAGGTTCACTAAATCACATTCAGGCTCGGGTTTAGTCGCTCTCGGGTCCAGCTGGGTTCAGGTCTGTGTTTGGTCCATTTGGGTTTGTGAAGTGTTAATTTATGTTCTCAACACTCTCTTTTTCTCCTTCCCTTTTTTCTCTCCCCTTCTCTCTCTGCAGTGCCTCAGCCACCATTAGACCTCTTGCCTCCTGCTTCCCCATCTCCCCATGCTTTGTAGAAATGGCTGTTTCTAATGAGGCCTGTGCTAACGTTCTCTTTCTTCCCTCCTCCCTCATTCCTCCCCTCCATGTTTTTCTGCAGTGGGGTGGCATCTCTTTTTCTCTTTTGATGCAATTCTTCAATGCAAGTCTCACTTTGGCACTGCAATATTTGTATACCAGGGATTAAAACATATAGATTATTGTTTTTATATATTTGTGTACATGAGGCACCGGATGATGTGCACCCTCTTTCAGTTCACCCTGAGTTATTCTGATCAGCATTCTGCTATGTGTTTCCTGTCCTCCCCCTCATTTCCCTCCCCTCATCTTGCAATTCGAAACAAAAGCATCCCCAAAGATGAAAATTGAGAATAGCACAAGATCATTGGTTGAGAGCCATGCTGAGGCCTCAGTGGACACTGCAAGGTGCAGTGTGAAAAAGAAACGTTTGGAGTTACAGGTGTGTAACTCCTGGCCGATGAGAAGTATGTGTCATGGTGATGATGGCATATATAGACTCACGCTTCTATATATGAATTTAGCTCAGTTACCAACAGAATGCAAGAAACCAGTATCGCTCACTGCAACCTCTTTATTTCCACTCAGTTTCACAGACAGAAAAACACTTAAAATGTAAATTGCTACAAAACTAAAAACCAAATCAATCAATTTCACAATATATGAACTGAAATGATGAGCGGAAATAAAAAATGCAAGAAAATAAGCTGTGTCCGATGCAAAACAAACAAAAAAAACACGCATGCAAGAACCATTGGGAGCAAGCACGCAAAAATTTATAATAGCTGTTTCGACAGTTTGCTTGCAAGTACTGTGATACTATAAAACAGCAGAGCGCTGCTGGTGTATCAAGCTTTCCCCCGAGTCACGGGTACATGAAAATAGAGGATGACAGCCACCCACGGCTCTCACCTCTGAACCCTGTGACCTGAAAATAGACAAAGAGCAATAAAGTGATACAAGAGATTTCTAACTGTGTCCTTTGCACTCTGTAGCGTCTCTTTGCCATGGGGCCTGCGTGGAGGTGGATTCAAACACAGAGGCCGTGGCCAACGAAGGCTTTAAATTGGGCTGCATCTCCTGTAAGATGAGGGGCGAGGTCAAGGCCGAGGCCTCCGTCAACTGGTACTTCAAGGCTTCAGATGAGTCTAACTTCTCCCATGTGAGTAGCAATGAGATAAATGACAAGGCAAGCTTTGAAAAAGTGGTTCTTAAAGAAAAGGAATAAAGGAATAGTTTGACATTTTTGGGAAATACACTTATTTGATTTATACAGAGAGTTAGATGAGAAGATAAATACTACTCTCAAGTCTGCATGGTAAATATGAAGCTACAGACAGGCTCTGGTTAGCTTAGCATAGTACAAAGACTGGAAACAGGAGGAAACAACTAGCATGGCTCTGTCCAAAGGTAACAAAACCAAGTACAGTTTTGTTGATACAATGAGGTTGCACAGCACCCACCGGAGTCTCTTGGAAGTTAATGTGCATGGCCAAGAAATAGGCTGGCATGTAACACTCTGTGGTAAAACCACAATATTTTTAAATCCACTGGGAGCCAATATGCAGGTATGCTAAAATGGAGGAGATACTTTACCTTTAGAGTGATCCCTCTTAGTTCTGCTTAAAAAACGAGCAAGAGACAGGAACAAACCTCATTCCCTTCTCGTGGAAACAAGAAATTAAATCAACCAGTAGATACATATACTTAAAGACTGAAGGGCTGAACTTTCATTAGTGATTTACCTTCAAAACTAAAATTACAAATAAAAATGAATCCTGAATTTCCTGCAAAAGGCCTGACTCAGGAAACCAACCTCCTCAAATTTTTCCTGAGCTTTAATGAGCGCAAAAGCCTGCTGCTGAGTAAATGGGCTGTAAGTAGTCCTGCAAAATCCCACAGTTGTAGTGTCAAGAATAAAAAAAAGTTTACATTAAATGCAACCACTTTTCTTTCCATATGTAATTAGTTATCATTACATTCGTCTCCTCTTCTGGGAAAAGACTGCAATGCATTTATCATGAGAGAGAGCCGAGTCTGGCATTTTTCATGATGAGCTTTTTCCCCCTCCCTTTGTGTCGACTGGAAGACACTGCTTTTGCTTACCTAAGGAGTCCGCAAAGCAGGCAAAGCAAAGAGGCCATTACAGTATATACCTAGAGCAAGAGTGATCCCATTAGCCCATTTAGAATCTGTATTCACTAATTCACCACAAAGTGCAGAGGTGAGGCCATAACTGCAGCTCGCTCGATACGGAAAAGCAACAGCAGTGGTGATGTGGAGACCAGATAAAGGATGAGAGGAAAACTGAAATGCAAACATGGTGTTGTGAATATTCACTAGATTAGATCAGATTCCTTATTGTCCTTTTCAGGAAATCTGTTTCCACAATCTGCACATATATTTAAATACAAACAACATGACCATATCAGAAAGTACATTTATACGCAAATTGACACCAATTGAACAGAGCAGAGGGGTTGGAACTCCTGCTATAGCAAGCCAGTTTCCAGGCCAGGGATTTGTATCTACGGCAGAGAGGTTGGGGTTGGGTTTCAGTTATTTTAGAGGTGTTGTTTGTGATGCGTATGAGTTTGTTCCTATTGGGCACAGTGAGTATGTTGAAATAACAGGTAGAGCTGTAAAGGAGAAGAGGTTGACAGCAGAAGGGGTGGGGGAACAGAAAGGGATTTCAGTTTTTTGATGGCAGAGAGTCTTTGTTGGCAGCATAACAACACTTAACAATCTGTTTTTTACACCTATAAACATCCAGGAGAAATCAGCAGCAGCTTTCTGTTGTTATTTAATTTATTTACACATAAATAACGTAAATCAATAGGACTACAGGCCACAAAAATACAATTACTAAGATATATGTATAAAATAAAATAGCCTACTGTATACAATAGAAATACAGAAGGTAAGTACAAGTATCTCAGAAATGTACTAAAAGTAGAGTACTTTTACTTTCCACCACTTAATGCGTGGATATATATTTACGACCCACAACAGGGGAACACACAGACTCAGTTGTCTTGAGGCAGGGTCTTTTAAATCACTTCATCATCAGATCAGCACATCATCAATACCTTTACCTATACATTAATAAGAGTTTAACACCTAAGCTCGTTCATGGCCTTTTCTGTCAAATAATTATTTATTAGAGCCACCAATCAGGGGAGCAAGCTGTGAAGAACTGGATGAAGATCATTTTCACACAATCCCATGCTATAGGTTGCCATTGCTTTCCAAAAACAGACATGTTCCTTCATTATTGTGAACACACACACAGTGTAGTTTATTCTCAGTCAAACTCACTACCATAAACATTCAGTAGAGTATGAAATGTGTATTAATCCACAGCTAAAAATAGTCCCCAACAAATAAACTATTTGTTCCTGTCTGAGTAACTTTTGCTAAAAACTACAGCGCCCAGCTGTTTGAAAAAATCAGTTAGTGTTTTTTAAATATTTATTCTTACATCTTAATTAGGAACCAATCAGCTTAGGTCTGGGTGCCACAGACAGGTGTCTTGCTCAGAGACACATTGGTGGATGTGTCACAGTGGGGAATTGAACCAGACTCTCTCACACCAAGCATGTGTCTTATCCACTGCGTCATCACCACTCACTATTGTTTGTTTTGTTGTTTTAATTAGATTTGTTGACAATAACAAAAACACAGAATATAGCTAGCCTTATACCTCGTGTAAGTATAAGCATATTTCAGGTGTGGACATGTTCATTTTCACAGCAGGCTGCATGTAAGGAGGGAAACACACATTCCTCAGCCTAAATACTTGCAATAACGCAAAGCATTTGTAGCAAAAGAATTTAAATACACAGAGACACTAACCACAATATGGTCTTTCAACACTTGTATGCCTGACAACCATTGTTATTACTTTGCTGATGATTCACAATCTTCTTTTCACTTTGCCTACTTTTAAAAGAAATACCATTCTGAAAATCTCTTCCAGTTATATACTTATGAAGACCAGATGGCTGTAATCCGCGACTCACGTTTTGAGGAGCGTCTGGACTGGAATGGCAGCAAGAATACCAAGGACCTACAGGACGGCTCCATCTACATCCTCAATGTGACCTTCAATGACACAGGAACCTACCAGTGCATATTCAACCGCACCCTCGAGTATCCCAACTACGAGTTTCAAACCGAAACCAGGAAGCTTATTGTCATTAACGTGGTGCCACAACGTAAGGACAGAGGGGAATAATGTTGTGCATGTTTGAAGGGGAAGAGTCTCAATTTTCAACTTCAGTTTCAATTTCAAAACACTTACACTATTTATCCCCATGGGACAAGTAACGTTAAGTAACGTTAAATAACTTGCCCACAGACATTCAGCTTAGTTTTTCCGTTTGCCAAGACATGCTGTTGTTGTGATGTTAGCTATAGTAGCAGGAGAGTTGTGAGTAAGGCAAGGTTCTTATAGGCAAGTCCTGCAACTCCGCAGCCATCTTGGTAATGCCTCCGGGCACTTATATTCGGACTAACAAGGTTAATTTATTGAAGTCCTATATTCCAGTTTTAGCATTTCGGTAACTATGAGCCCAGGCTGATAACAGAAACTTTTTTTACTTACTCACGTAACATATCTGCCTCACTTTGTAACATGCAAAACAGGCTTGTGTGGCACGACTTCAGCACACCTGCTCTACTCTGCTTCTGATTGGCTGTAGTCCTTAACTAGGTACTGCAATTGTGCAACTCCCAACAAAGATCGAATACAAGAGATTCTTCACTCCTAAAAATGGAGCGTTCAACACACAGGGGTAAAAAGAGGTGCTGCAACAATGTGCAGTATGACAAAAATTTGGTGTTTTTGAAAATTAAACCAATAAAATTATAAACCTGAAAATGAGCATAATATGACCACTTTAAGACCACAGTGCAATGCAATCACAAGACATCCTGCATGCTAAGTTATTTTGATGTTTAATTTCTAATTCTTGTAGTAGATGAAGTACATTATAACACAAAATCAGAAAATAACATTCAACATCACAGATTTATTCATGTAGGATTTTCCTTTAACAAGTAAGGGCAGCTCTGTTGTTTCAGTATATACACAGCAATTGATTATGTCATGTGGCTGTGTTAGATAAACACTGTCTTCTGTGTGTCTCTTGAAAGGTCCCAGACCAAACAAAAGGAAAAACAGCCTTGTAAGCAGAGCTGAAATTTATATTTATGAAGCTGCAGTGCTGCAGATGTGGTTTTCTTCCACATACAGTATCATAAATATCCAAGAAGGAAACTCTCAGGAATATTCTTGCACTGTAATATTCATATATTTTATTTATTTATTCATTATCCCTAAGCATTACTTACCTTTTCATGACTCACCTAGTTATATTAATATATAGTTCTGTTTTTGAATTATGAGATGCAATGAAAAAAAGACAGATCTCACAATAACTTCCAATAAAACAAAACTTTGGAAGGCTTTATCCAAGAGGATACACAGCTTAAAATAATTCGCCAAACAGATATGACCCAAATAGAAACGTCTAAACCAACATGTTCGTGGCAGCAGCTTAAAGGGATGAATCACTAGTAGGGCCCTCGTGTAATGGTGCTGACACTCTTGAACAGCATACATGCTTCCTTTAGCAAACTATACTGTCACAGCTGCCATTAATAAACGCTGCGCCAATCAATATTAATAATCATATTATCAATAGATCAAATGAATCTGTCTAACCCACTGTACACTACCTGCTCAGCACCAAACAGTAGACAAATAAAGTTAGCGACTAGCTGGTGAATATAGTGGAGCAGCTATGTTAAGTAGAGTTGGTAGAGACCAAAACAGAGCTAAAAAGAGAGTGAAAATCAGACTTATATTCACCAGGTAGACAGAAACAGGACTCAAAATGAATCATAGTGTTGCTCTGAATCTGCTGGATGTGTAAAATGGCAGCTGTTTGTGAGTTTGTTTTGCTGCCCCCAAGTGGTCAAGTAAATGTATTAATGTCGGTTACAGTAATATGCAATCGGACAAAATTAGCAACTAGCTGGTGAACATAGTGGAGCATTTAACTGATAAAGATTCTGATGTTTTACTCCTGAAAAAAAGAGCTAATTGGAGGTGGTAACATTCAGGTGGCCACAAGTTTGTCACATTGACATATTTAACAAGTGAAAAAATGTGTTTTTAGCTTGTTTTGTTGCCCCAAAGTTAAAAAATAAAATGTTAATGCAGGTAAGTATGGTCACTTAAACTTAAAATGGGTGCTTTAAATGTGGAGTAAGCAATTCTGGAGAAATCCAACAACATAACAAATACCATGATATAGAGCGAACAACGACACAGCAAGTAACTAACGTTAGATAAGTTGTGGGTTAGCAAACAGTTGCAGCTGTGAAGCTAACATGCAGAGACGGTTTCCCAGAGCCAGCACACCAGTTCCAGACAGTGATTTTTATATACAGTCTATGAGTGATACTCACAACTCTTCTGCTACTATAGCTAACATCCTAACAGCATGTTTTGGCCAACTAGAAAGTAAGCTTAAGTAATTTTCTGCCACACAAATAATGGGTGACTCGAATGGTGTTCTGTGGTGTGGTGTGGACCACTTTGTTTGTTTCCAGGGCACCTGGCCAGAGGGCCAGAGCTGGGTACAAACACCAGATTTGTTTTCAGCACACACACAGAACAGACAGCTAGCAGACACTGAGGAGAATTTGACAAAAAGACATGTATCGGATTTAACTTGCTTACCCCAACGCTAAGTAACAAGAGCTTAAATTAAAGTCCCCCACCGTTCAATGCTTAATCCTCTGAATTGTCATTATTTGACACAAGCATGTTTTTTTGTTTTGTGACTAGGCTATGATGAGGGGTAACCTTTATCCTGTGGGGCTTTTACAGCATTGAGCCCTTGTGGACATCAGATAGGTTAACTGCTTCTGCAGCGGGATTCAGGAAGTGAGGAATTGCACTGATGACTGACAATGATGCACTGTAATTCAGCACAGGGGGTCATGAATTATGAGTAAAATCTTTTAAAAATGTATGGCCTGGGCAGCCCCAATCCTTTTCATGGTAGAAATTAAACCCAACCCCATTTCTGTAAGCACACCAATACAACATGTCTCCCCTTACATCCCTCTCTGTCGCTCTAGTCACCAGGGGAATGGCATCCATCTTGTCTGAGGTGATGATGTATGTCTCCATCATCGGGCTGCAGCTCTGGCTGGTGGTTGAGATGATTTACTGCTATAGGAAGATTGCAGCTGCAGGAGAGGAAGCTCTGAGAGAGAGCGCGTGAGTAACACTTAGAATCACACATACACACACACACACAGCCAGCCTCTCTCCAGTGCCAGTCCTTCATGTCCAGCTCCTGATGGTCCAAATGTCCTGGTTTCCCACCAACCCCTTTCACCCTTGTTTTTCCTTTCTGCCACACATTGGACAGCAGAGTCACAATCTGTTTCAGTCTGCTCTTTTCAAAATAACTAAACTTTTCCTTTTTCCTCACTGAAATGATACTTTGTTCTGATTAACTGATCTTGACTGTCTGTTTTTCCCTTTTCTCCTTTCTTCTACTTTCTTTCCTTCAGGGCTGAGTATTTAGCTATAGCGTCAGAAAGTAAAGATAATTGTGCAGGTGTACAAGTGGCAGAATAGCACCGGTAGGTCTGGATTCTCACTAAACTTGATGTCTGAATTAAGTTTCTTCTTCTTTGTTCTTTCTTATTTATTTTGCAGTGTTACCACAATTAGGGCAGAACGGGTTCAAAAGTAAAACATTTTCAGCATACTATTATAAATATATCTTGTTTATTTTTAATGGTCCAATTACATCTTAAATAAGAGCTAGGCCATGCAAGTCTTTTCCTTCTCTTTTTTGCTTGTAACTCTTTAAAATGAAGCAATGTCTACAACTTCTTAAGTGTCCCTAAGAGTTTCTCTTCTCAGATTGCTTTTAGATAGAGAGGTAGTTGTGTGCACACCCCATCCTATATGTAGGTGCAGGACAACAGATTCAATGAAGGAAAAATTAAGGAAAAGAGTAGACTTGGATTTTATTTTATTTTAACACAACCAGTGTGTTTACACTTAACTTTTTTCCAGCCATTATATAATTGTCACAGGGAACATTTTTTACCCCCTCAATTACCAGTTGGTGAGATTGACCTATTTTGTTCCCTCCCTCAGTTCAATTATTTGTACCCTCAAAATTATGATAAATTGTGCCCTCAAATTACTTAATTTATTCACTATTCACTTTTGTCCGTCTCCTCTCCATATTTTGATTGAGATCTTGTGTTTTCTACAATCCATTATTCATTTTCCTGACAGTTTTGTGTTTTTTACTTCAGGTTGAGCAAGAAATCAGGAAGGCTTCCTTGAGGATTCTCACATCCACTTTCACCTAACTCTCACCTCCCACCATCCTCTCCACATGATGGAAAAATGGAACCACAGAGAGGAGAAAGCTTTTCATAGAAAGGTTTTTTAAGTGACTTTCTGCAAAAGGTTGGAAAGGACTGGGCTATATCCCGTTCTGAAATACAGGATGGAGACATCTGGGGGTGGCCCAACTGGACAGAGGGGGAAAGAGAGAGTAGTACTGTATATAGGTCAATAAGTATGAACAGAAAATCTTTTAACACATGTAGAGTATATTATGAGACTACATTGTATAACCACTATCTGCATGCTTTCGAGCTTTTCAAAACAACCGACACCATGCTTCTGATGTTCTGTCACAGTTTTGTTTTTAAAATCATTAATCAGTTTTGTCATATTCCATTACACTGTGTTTGACTGGTTTTATAAAGCCGTCTTTTAACAAATCATAACTGTTTTTAATCAAAACATTCTGAGAACAAAAAATACTTTTACTTTCTGGCAGTGAGAGTAATTACACACACACACACACACACACTTGACTCGTGCTCATGATATATGCTGTCAGATGAGCTTGTGTTCAGAAATAGTTAAAAAAATAAAATCCATCAAAATTGACAGTTCCAATAAAATAATCTATTATTAAATGGTAAATGGTAACTACACTTAAAAGCACCTGTCTAGTCTTCCGACCACTACATCACACACACACACACACACACTTTCTTATACTGATGGCAGTGGCTGCCATGCAAGGTGCCAACTGCTATTCAGAAAGGAGGACTAACATTCTCACACACACACCAATGGCACAGCATATTAACACGAACTATACAATCTTTATAAAAAGAAATAAACAAAATGAACAAATCTCCATAATAAATGTTCTTTTTGTACAGCAATGGCAGATCATGGAGCTCTCTGTGTGGCTCTGGGTTGCTCCCCCGTTCAGCTCTGACAAACCAGTCATTGCTGGTTGGCATAAAAAGAATCATTACCTGTCGCCACAGACACCAGATTTAAAAACTTGGTGTACTGCAAATACAAAGAGATTGAGCTGCTGTTGATAGGCTTAATTAGCAATGTGTGAACTCGTTTGGTCGAGGGATTGAGGAAACACTTCTACAATGGCTGATATTTTGTCCTCATTTTGCCCAAAAATATGTATTTAGTATTTGAATTTAATTAAAATCTGCATCAGAAAACAGCATTTAAACCAAATTGTACACAATAACTGAAAACCCCAAAGAAAAAAACATGCAGGTCTATCATATCAGCAGTGGCCACAAAACAGGCCAATGTCTAAACTTAAAAGACACTAATCGATATATTTATTAGTCTAATAAATTGGCAAACCAATATTAACGGTCATACCTTGACTGACAACACATCTAGACCTTTTATTTTCTCTATTTACTGTGTCTCTCTCTTGTTTTCCTTCAGTATGACACACTCGCACATGAGCTCACCAAGAGCAATGTTAAACATGAATTCTGCTAAATGTTTAGCTCGTCACTGCGGGGTGTTTGTGAAAACGTAGTTCTTAGTTCTCAAATAAAGGGACATGCAGTCATTAACCACTGTCAATTTTAGGTTAAACTTCATAGAAAAACATAGTGCCGGTCATGTTTTTAATGTTTCATTTGGACTGGAGAAGCAACTGAGATGAGATCCTGTTTTATCTTAAACTCTCAAACGAAGCAATGATGTTTTTACAACAATCTAAAGCTAAATGTCAGTGGAATTCCTGTTTCAATTAAAGCATTACAGGCCTTCTCAGCACACCACCACCCTGTTTACACTGGCTGTGTAATGCAGCAGGCTCACTGCTCATTTTGATTTCCTCTTTGAAGTTGCAAGTTTTAGAGCTCAGAAAATATCTCAGTAGACTCGGCAGAAAATGGCATCTCAGGCCCAAGTGTGACTTCCTGTTTCATATATAAAGATGATGCCTACCCCTATCACACCAAACCAATTTCTATCACACCCAAAATGTGTGAGAAAAGAAAAAAATGTAGCTTTACCAATTTTTCCAGAGTGATGTGAAAGTATCACCTTTAGCTGAATTTGTCTACAATGGAAACTTTCCTGCCGATGTGTAATTTCACACAGATGTCTTAGTGTCTTTGTAGAAACCTAACAGCTTGGCAAATTGCTATGAACTGCCGTGGGAAAATGTACCACGAAACCTGTACAGTGTGACTCCCAGCGTGAAGCCAGTGGCAACCAAAATGGAAAAGGAAAAAGCTGGAGCCTTGTAACAAATCTTTAGTGTTTGTAAAACAAAAAAACATAAGCTTCTCTTTCCAGATGGCCAGTTATTGACTGAACACTAGATGGCAGCCAAACACTGCCATTCTACATGTTTACTGTTCAACTTTTTTGTACTAAAACTGAGTTTGATACATTTTGAGATACTAAGAAGGGGACACACACAACCTGCTCAATTTATACAGAATAATAACTGCATGCTTATTGATGCAATATACAAAGGCTGCGATATTTTTTTTTCCAGTACAAACAGAATGTCCAATGAGAAACAAGCATAAAAAAGCCAAGAAAACAAATGACGTCCTATATGAAAGCCATTCAAGCTATTTTATACACCGCTTACTGAGGGATTTACTTTTTAGGGTATGCATCAGTTCACATCATCTAAACACCTTTTACACAGATGAACCAACCAGTGAAATGAACACCACATTGTTGGTCTGCTTTGTGTCCATGTGTTTACCATCAGCAATGAATAAAACTGCAGTTTTCACTTCATGTGCAGGTGTTGGTTGGCAAAAAAAAGGAACAAAGATAAAAGATAGGAAAAAAGTGACTCACAGAAATAAATTAAATTCATGTGAAAATCAGCCACGTGTCTGTTGGAATTCTTTACTTACATAAAAGGTGAATATGGAGGTGGTTGATATGCAGTGAGGTGTCAGGGCTTTCAGCTCACACATTTAATTTCCATCCAAATCTGTAAACCATGAAACTATGCTTCTCCAAAATCCTATTTAATACTTCATTCACTCACACCAGCAAGTACACATTAATTTTTTAAGGGAAAACATGACTTTTTGAAGACCAGCATGAGTCGACACATGTGATCTATAGGTACATTTTTGCTCATCTGGGTCTGAGCAAACAAGAATTAACAAATATATTTTAACTTGTACAGACCATCAGATGGATGGGTTTCACCTCACGATAATGCTTGATCCAGGATTAAATAGTGTGGGGGCACAGGGGTCAAATAAAGGTGGTATAACAGCCTTTTGAGATACAAACTTGTTAGACACTTGTGAAAAGCCTTACACCATTTTACTCAACTCCAATCAATCATAAAACTAGTGGTGAAACGGTTATTAAATCAGTCAGTTATCAGAAGTCATTTAAGCAAAAGTTGTTGTTTTTTTGTTTTTAAATCGGAAACAACTACTAATTTGAAGCCATCACCTTTGGCTCTGGGAAGATTAGATTAAGCAATTAACACCAAGTCAATTGATCAAAAACAAAATGTAGAAGTTGCAGCTCAGGACAAAAACTTTCTCCTTGAACTTCTTGAATGTTCCTCTATTGCGCTAGACAGTCTTACCTTTTTTGATTGTTTTTCCACTGGTGTGCAGTGTTTAAAATGAGCAGGACATAATGTAACACAGCATGAAAATGAAAACAATTAAGTGCCTCTGATCAAACCTTCATGTCTACTACTGTAATTACCCAACGTTGTAGTTTGTTTTTCATTCTGTGCAATGAACTGATGGTGGCACACGTTTTGTCCTCAGTATTTTTCAAGCATGTTCTACTAACTTATCCAAGAGTTTGGTCTTTGCTAAACAAGAGCCGCTTGAGTTCAGGGGGTTTAATTTAATTTCTCTCAGTTGATTTAAACTGGTGTCCTCTGGTTTCAAGATAAGATAAGCCACTGTGACTTTCAGGCTACACACAAATGTCAATCTGTTGAAAGAACGCTGAAAATTGCAAACTCAGCACGAGCACAAATCCCTGAGCCGGGACTTTCACCTCGTGACTGGATTCTCCTGAACAGAGAATTGCTCTTAGAAGATCTCTTATCACTGTGTGAACTCAGTAATGTTATATCCGTCCTTGATTTAATTTAAAGAAAGGCTTTTTACTATAAAGTAAAATAGAGTGGAACTGGCTGACAGAAAATTGATTAGCAAGTAATCTGATAATCAATTAATGTTTTTAGTCATTTAGGAAAGAAGAAATGCCAAACATTTCTCAAATGAAAGATGCCTTTCTTTGTCATATGATTGTTAACGGAATACTTTTTTAATACTTTATTAGTAGATTTTTACTGACTCAAGCGAAACTAGACCGGATACAATGAATTACCTGAAGAATCTGAGTATTTTTTTAATCCAAATGCTGAATCTCACTTTTTCCAACTTCTCAAATGCGAACAGTTGCTTTCCTTTGTCTTCTCTGATATAAAAGTGAATATTTGGGGGTTTCAGACTGTTGGACAAAACAACCAATTTAAATAATGTCAACTTGTGCTTTGGGATATTGTGATGGCCATTTTTGTTAACCATTTACTGACCTTTATTGGACCTAATAACAGACAGCTAGATCAGTAGTGAAAATAAATACATTTTTCCCAAATATTTTCAAGTAAAAACACACACAGACTCAAAGATGAGCAAGGAGTTGTTGCATCTTTTAGAACTTTTCATTTCTCTCCATGGTGTGGTGTACAATCACATCTTTACAGTACATTCTCATCCTCATACAGCTCTCTCTCTCGCTCTCTCAATCTACCACAGACACCACCCCCATCCAACCCCTCCCTCCCTAAATAAATATTACACCCTTTTGTCATCCACGGATGGCCATGCACAGCATGGTCAACATGCTTCTGTAGCCGCCATTTTCAATGAAACACACACAGACAGAGAGAGAGAGACAGAGAGAGAGAGAGTGGGGCTAAGGGGAAGAGCACATAAAGGAAAGAGAGGAAGAGTGGGTTTGAGTGATGAGAAGAAGAAAAACAAAAACAAAGAGGGAGAACAGATGGGTGAAATGTTTTCACATCATCAGAAGAGGCCTGAATCCAGTGGATGGAGAGGACTGGCAAAATAAGCAACAAATAAAGACGACAAAATAATAAAGATAGAAAATGAAAGAAAAAAAAAAAAGAACTGAATAAAAACAGTGAGTCAAATTAATCTTACAAACACACAAAAAAAAACAATACTGAGGAAACCGATTCCCTTTTTCTTCACACAAGCCTGGTTGGTCCTTTTGTTTTGAAACACCGGCCCAGTTGGACAACGAAGTAGCTGACTGTTCTGATATTTAGGTTTCTACCCGATCAAGTCTACGGTAAATCCTAAACTGTTAAAGTCTGGCTCTGTGATACAAAGAGTGAGCAACCAAACGTGAAAGAGAAATCTCCAAAAACAAACTCTTGAAACGCTAATATGAAAATTTAACATCTGAAAATGTAACATTGAGGACGCCTCATGAACACACACGCACGCATCTGTCAAGTCTTTCTTGCTTGATTTTTCACTGCCTCTACACACGCACAACACATTATTATTATCATTATTATCATATTATTATATACTACTTTGAAACATTCAAAAAGTACTAGAATCACAATTGTCGTTATTGCTGTGACAGTAATGCTTCTCGTGTTGCTCCTCTTGGTCCGCACTGCAACAGCAATTCAGAGCACAAAACACCCACCCAATGACTTCTTAAGGAGCAGGACAGGACTTCAGATCAAAAGTCATTGGTAATAATAAATACTGTAACAGTCAGATGCAGCTTGCTGTCTTAACAACCAACCCAAGACAGGAATTTTGAAAAAAGATAAAACCCAGGCAGGACTGGGAGGAGTGGGAGGGTGTTTATCTTCCAATGTATAATTTATATCTAAAAATAAGGGTGAAAACTAAAGTGTCTGGGGTTGTAATGTCCCTCATCCCCTTTCGTAGAGGATTGACGGGGGCTCAACTCTGACATGGACGAACAAATCCCTGTCAGATCAGAAAGAGCGAGAGAGGCGCCCTGCTGGGGACGGCACTCTCCCCTCTCCTTCTGGGTGTTTGTCTCATCCACACAGCAGGTGGTGTCCCCCCCCCCCATTTTGTTTCAGCAGGCGTTCACTGGAGGCAAAAGGTATCTAACTGTTCCCAGGACTAAGTGGAAGAGCGACCACTTTCCACAATCATTGATCCCTTCCCATTGCACCTATAAAATGTTGCCTGTCAGAAGAAGAGCTGAAGTCTGTGATAGTCATATAATGGGGGTGGGGTTCTGAAAATTAAGGAGGTCAAGTTATTCTGAAACACAGTTGGCCATTTTGAAATGTCTATGATTCTTGTGGAGTGGATGGTCTGAATCGGCCCACCAGTGGCCTGTTTTCATACACTAAATATAGAGGAACTGTAGGTAAATTATTGCTGTGGTCCTGATAGCTTCCAGTCTGAATGAGTTCATTGAAGTTATTACTGGTTGAGGCTGAAGGCGAACGTGGCCATTTCAAGTCAGTCAGGCGAGGAGAGTTGTAGGTAATCCCGTAGGTAGGTAGTCACCCCTACATGTCCCATTCCTGGTTTTCGATTTGGAAATGAGGGAATAGCATATTGTGTCCTGATCCAAGTTGACCAGGCCCCTCTTTTCTACCAGAGATGTGAGACAGTCACAGGGTGGGGGGTGCTGACCAGAAGAGGCAGGGCTCAGGCGTCAGTCAGGGACTCTGTGAGGGTGTCATCGGTTGGGTCCTGCTGTACCTCCGGGACCACGATGCCCCGGTGGAGCTTTTCTAAAGACTGCTTCATCTGGGAGATTAACATGGATGGGGTGGTGAGACAGAGAGGTCAGGTCAGATATACTGGATTATATAATGCAGAGAGAATGTATCACATTATGACCACAAGCAGTTGCATGAGATTTCTTTCTAACTGGTTCCTGCAGACGTGCACTACCAGCATTTAACCTCACAGTAAACACACACACACACACACACACACACACACACACACCTACCTGGTCGAGAAGTGTGACCGAGGACTGCAGGATCTGCTGCCACTTGCTGAGCTGAGCCTGGTGAAACTGCCTCTGAAGCTGCAAGACCTGAGCCCACTCTCCAGCTGTCTGAGGCAAAGGACTGAGGAGAGGAAAAAAAGAGGAGAGGAGAAAGGGGTGGAGGAGGAAAAAGGATAAGAAGACAAGTGCAGGGTCAGTAAAATGGCCAGTAGTATGGTCGTATTTTTTAAACCTGCAATTTGGGATTTTGTGAACCACCAGGGGCAGCAGAAACAAGCTGTAAAATCTCTTTACACATCCAGCACATATGGAGCAACATTAGTGGATGGGGATCAAGACCCGGTTCCAAAATTTCTCAAAACCCGAAAATCAATATGGTCTGAGCTTATCAATACTGCTATCGAGACTAGTGGGTCCTATAATGTAGTTATGTCTCGAGCGTCAAATCTGAATTATCTTGAAACACAATGGATAAGAAAACTAATGTTTATTTATTGTTGGCACCGAAACTTGGTATTAAAACAGGCCTCGGACTGTTTATCAGGCTGCAGCCTCTGCTGCTCTCTGTCGCGCACACACACACACACACACACACACACACACACACACACAGAGCGCCCTGCAGAGAGAGACGCAGACGCCGCTCTGTCGCTGTGGAGACGGTGAAGTTAAATTAGCTCCAAACTATGAGTTGCCAACAGCTCCGCTCGTTATGTGCAATAAAACCTTCACGAGTAAGAAGACAATACTTTATCAGTACACCTGTCTGTAAGGTAAACATGTAGAAAGGGTTCATTTAGTCTGCTCTGTCCTCAGTCTGTCATCCTGCATGTTTTATACAAGCACAGCTAATGTTAGCTTGGCAATTAGCAAATGTTACAAACAAGTTGTCTGTCTGTAGCATAAACTGTCTTAAAATGTGGTTATAATAATCAACCGCTTATAAATGTGATGACCATAAGCAGTTTCCACTGCATTTACTTCACAAAAAGCAAGAGATGATTTGTTGCTATGCAGTAACTTAAAACTGTGAGGGATATTTCACACCTCAGATCCCACAAGAAGAACCTTACGCCAATTAACACCATAATAGAGTCTCTATTTGTATGAAAAACAGCGTGGTTTGTTTACCTGTCAGCAACAGAGTAGGAGTGCCATGTCTCCAGTGTATGGGCCGCCCTTTCCAGAGCGTACAGCTTGTAGAACAGCAGCATGTTGAGAGCCACCAGCACCACCAGACTGAAAGGAACAGAGAGAGAATTGTCTTAATTTACTGACTGGTGTGAAAAGAGAACATCAGTAGGACATCAACAGTAAAATGCTAATACTCATCGCAAAAAACAAACAAACAACAGGCACAAATCCTTCAGTGTTTGTCACACAACCCAGCACCTATTCAAAACACGATGCAAGTTTATTGCAGGAAAAATCCACCCTGACACAAATGTCAGTGATGTAAACAACTATTACTGTTTAACTATTTCTGTGCAGATTTTTTGCTCCTATTGATAACTGCTCAAAAGTAGAAGACATGCAATATTTCCAGTTTAATGCCTGAAAAAGGACTAGTGTTGTCAATAATCACACATTACTGACATGCAGCAATTTCTCCGTTGGGGGTAGCTACCATAGACCAGAATGCAATGCAGCCACAAACCATGTGTGTTGAGGAAAGGCTGCTAACCCTTTTCTTGCTCTGCTATAGCTGCCCATTTCAGCGTCGTCACGTTCAGCCCACAGATGAAAACTAGTCACGTCCTATTCTTT